GCAAGGATTGCTCTAAATAAAAAGAATATTGATCAGATGAAGATCACTTACATATTTAATCATTTAGAAACCTTACCTTGAAGTGGATCTTCACAAACCAAGAGACTGTTCAGTCACGTTCTCAGCTTCCCCTGCACCAGAGCAGGAGGATTGTGAAGTCCTTGAAAACCATGAACTGACCACTTTTATTAATTTCCTTAATTGCTTTTTCCTTAGAGCAGGAAAGTTTGTCTCCCTAAGAAGGACTTTTCCTTTATGTACAAGATTGATGATAGCTCTACACCCCAAAAGCAGCAGCTGCTCTGATCCTCACCTCTTTTCTTGATTTCTCTCTCCCTCCCTATAGAAGCAATGCTTTGGTATCACTTCCTGTCATGGAATTACTGTGTATTTTACTCTGTTTTAATTTAAAAGTGAAACCAAGGATGTCTTTGTAACACAGTGACATTTTTTTAGATTACCGTTTTATTCCTAAGGACTTCATTCTTGTCTGTGTACGTACAACTGATGTTCCTGACTCTCGTGTCATAGAGCTTCTAGTATGTTTCAGTACTGAACACTTAGTGTTTTCACACCAAAAGCTGTAGTGTCACACTCCCTTTTACTCTTGCCTTGTAGGCAGCACCCTTCATTTGAAAGAGTGACCTTCTAATATCTCCACCAAAAAATATGAATGTTTTCCTCCATGAGCAAAATGCTCAGCCAATAGGATTTGCACCTTGCAGCAAGAGGTTCCCATCTAACTGGAGTATGGCTGTGTAGGAGGCTTAGGTTTTGCTATTTTAAGATTGAAAGCAAGTGTAACTTTTGTCTTAAGTTTATGAAGACTAATGCTAGAAGCTAGTAGCTAGCACTTAAAAGGGGAAAGAAGAAAAAATAAGTGGTAACAATTGTCTGTGGCTAGGAGGCTGTGTAGAAAGGGTGGTGGAAGGGGATATGAAATAAAAGGAAAATCAAATGCTGGACAGGGGGCCATTTATTTTTTTACAGACTTGGACAGCAGAAAGCTCAGTGAAATTCACAGTAATACCATAGTACTAGGTAGAATCTTCTTGCTTTAAAATGTAATCACACTGGCTTGTGCCTAAACAAGTATTTGGCAGCCCCTGAGATGACTTAGCCTTGTTTAAAGCCAAAGAGTGAGAGAGATTTGGTACTGTCTCTTTCTTGGAAGACAGGATGCATAACACGTTACAGAATGCTGCCCAAATTCACTTTTCTTGAATTCCCTGTCTTAATGGAACCAGGTGATACTATGCTTTTTGCTGGGGAATTTTGCAGCCCTTTTTTTCTGTGCTCCCATTTTAACCATCCTTTGATGCACAAAGACTCCGTAGGGTTTGGACAGCCTAGCTTTTAGTGTTAGATCAGCTTAGTCTTCCTCCAGTTGGACTGCTGAGGAGAGAGAATGTTGTATTTCCATCCTTTGCTGGAATGAGTTGATGGCAGTTTAAATGCCCAGTACGCTTCTGGAGTTACCTTTATTTTCTGTGTGGGGGTTTTGCAAAAAGGATGGTGTTTACTGACTACCATGTTTCATTTTAATAGCCCAATGCTTGCTTTTTCAAAGTTTGTCAAGTAGGGTAGCA